TTTAATATTTAATAAATTTAATAAATAAAATGTATCGATTATTGATGCTGAATTGCTTGTCTAATTGGAGTCGATTGGTATTGATTGACGTCTGAATTGTTATCAAATTGATACTGAATTGTAGGCTGATTTATGGTAGAATTGCTTGTCCAATTGGAGTCAATTGGCATTGATTGACGTCTGAATTGTTGCCGAATTGATACTGAATTGTAGGCTGATTTATGGTTGAATTGCTTGTCTGATTGGAATCGATTGGCATCGATTGACGTCTGAATTGTTTCCGAATTGATACTGAATTGTAAGCTGATTTATGGTTGAATTGCTTGTCCAATTGGAGTCGATCGGCATCGATCGGCGTCTGAATTGTTGCTAAATTGAGGCTGATTTATGGTTATTTAAGTTCTGAATTAATGCCAAATGGCTATGTCCGATTGGAGTCGATCGGCGTCTACCGGCGTCTGAATTGTTACTGAATTGAGGCCAGTTTTAGGCCGATTTATAGTTGAATTTAAGTTCTGAATGGCCATGTCCAATTGGAATCTATCAGCGTATATCAGCACCTGTTTGTGCCAATCGGAAAACATGGCAAATCGGATGTAAATAGTATCAAAATCGGCCTAAAATTGGCCATCCGATTTTTAGCTGATTTGGACTATTTTGACTAGTGTAACCAAATGCTAAATGAATTTTAATTGCTAATTTTAACCATTAATTTTGACTAATTAACCAAATCAGCTAATGACTAAAAAATTAAACTTAGCTGTAAACTATAGTATAAGATATCACAACAAATTTTAGATAAAAGGTAATATTAAAAAGAAAGAAATTTGTATAAATTTAAATTGATTCCTTTATTTATAATATTGAAACTTTTTGAAACTTACAAATAAATTATTTTACAACAAATTATTCTATTATATAAAATTAATATGTTATAATTAACTATTTTATTATGCTATAAACTAACTATATTTATAAACTTCAATTATAATATAATAGTAAAATAAAATATAATAAAAATATAAATTACAAAATAAATAATAATAATAAATAAAAATAAAAGAAATAATAATAATAATAAAGACATTTAAAAATGAATAGTTATTTATTATTATAAGTATAAATAAAATTTGCAATATCAAAAGAATCAAATAAATTTAATTAATCAGATAAGTCATGTAAACCTTTAATATTTTTCTGATTTTTTTATTATAGTAGTTATTGATTATTATTATCTGATAATTCTAAAGTGATATTTCTGTATTTATAGTAATATTTATTTTTAATATCAATAATATTTAAAAGAATTTTTTATTGAAAATACTTTTACTATGCAGAAATCCATGATTTGTTACCATGTAGTTAAGTGATCGCTAACAAATCACAATAATTTAGTAATAATCACATAACAATGTAATACCAGATGAACTAATGGCATGATTTTAGATTTATTAAAAAAATATCTTTCCAAAGTCGTAGCATACTATTAAAGTAGGTGGTAGATTTCACTTGAATATTATTGAAAATTAGTCAAAATTACCAATTCAAGTCATTTTTTCAATGTATTAGATATTACTTGACAATTAATTCACTAATTCCTTGATTTTGAATTATTTTTTTTTTGTTAAAATTTTTTCATTATAATATAAAAAATCATTGTTATTACAATTGATAATTATAAATTATAATATAAGATTACAAATAAAAATATTATTATTGTTGATAAATTCATTGTAATACATTATTGTAATGAAATAATATTACATTAGCACTTTTTAAGAGAATGATAGAGTTAAATGTTAAGAAACTGCAGATGTCTTAAATGCTACTTTATATATATCCTATAAATTTATATGGAGTTATAAATGTTATTATAGTTAACAATGCTGTTATATTTTTGCAATATATCATTATAATAAAAATATAATAAAAATAAAATTCGTTGTTAAAGGTTAACATTAAAGATCTATAGATATAATCAATAAATATATTACCATTTCACAATTGTAAATTACTTGTAATATTTTTACTATTTTGAAACGAAACTGTTATATTTTTTGTTATTGTATCTAAGAATTTTATTGCTTCAATATCTCTACATTCATAATTAATGATAAATGCTTTTTGAACAAATTTTCGCAAAATATTCAAAGAGTTTTGAGCTTTTAAATCAATCATGTTTATTACATTTAACCATCTTTGCAATATATCTAATATTAAAGTTTCATTGAGAAATAAATCACCTCGATTTCCTCTAAATAGTGAGTTTTATGTCTGTAAATAAAAGAAATAAACTAGTGAAATAACTATTGCACTGGAAACAATAAAATTAAAACAAAATGAACACTTATCGTGATCTTTTTTTTTTGAAGCTATCAATTGCTTGTTCAACAGCAGCCAGGAATTTATTACGAAAATCATTAAAATTTCTCTTGGCTACTTGTAACCATTCAGTTCCTTTAGTTAAATTAAGGTCACAATTAAAGATTTTCTGTATTAAATCTTCAAAAACTCCTTTTATAGGATTTCATACTTATAGGAAAAGACATTTCAATTCCTCTAAAAAATCTCAACTTTTTACTTTATCTTCTTGCTTTAAAAATTTGTGATACACTAGTTGCTATCATTGATGAATTGAAATTTGGCAAAATCAAGCTGAGAGTGTTTGCAACTGGTATTTGTATTGATAGATGCATATTATAAGCAAGTAATAAAATACTGGAATTCACACATAGTCATGAACAGATTTGGTAAATATTATCATTTCGCGAAAAGGTTTTAGTAGTATTGATTCTGTATTATTTGATGTTTAAAAGGTCAAATGAACATCGTTATCATTAGTAAGAATAGATGTATTTGAACGAATCATGTTTGGTGTGTTTGATTGAAAAATATTAGCATTGTCATTGAACCTCATATAATTATTATATATAATAAGATGTTTTATTGATACGATTGTTAGAAGGATAACGATGTGTAGTATTTAAATGCAAATGAGAATAAGAATCAGATGCTTCATTTGAACCATCCAATCTGTCTAATGTGCTATGATGAAAATTCATGAAAGATCTAATCATCTCATCTAACGTATTATGAATTCTATTATTTACAATCAGTGCAAGAGGTTTACATCTAGTATTTATATCATTTTTATTAATCTGACTTTCATCTTAGAAGGTAAAGGAATGAGAAAAGATATTAATAATATTTAAATGATGTTATTAACAAATGATTTAGTTACCCTCTGAAAGGTCATCATTATCATTGCTTATTTTTAGAAGTTTGTTAATTGAAGTATCAGCACTTGGTCCTTAAATTATGTCATTATTTGTATATTTCTTTCGATTATGTTTAGAGATAATCATTGGAGTTGCCACAGCTTTACATTTAGCATTGGTCTTTGGAGCTGATGCTATATTTTGTTGATCTTTATTATTTATGAGTTCGTCATCTTCAACAACAGGCTCTTTTTTTTGATCTCATTTTTTAACAATTTTTTTGGTTGGATCTGCTTCTTATTCTTGATTTTCTTTTGGAACTAAATTTATAATCATCTGATATATATATATATATATATTATAATAACAGTTAAAGATATAGAGTTATTACCACCAACTTCAACATCGTCAATAAGGATAACATTTTGTTTCATTTTTTGACTTCAGGTAATATTTCTTTTAAGAGACATGATAATGATAACTTTAAAGAGTTGTAAAATTAAAAAATTGTAATAAATAAAGAGAAATAAAGAGAAATAAAGAGTTTACAAAAATAAAAAAAATGTTTTTTCTTTAAATAAAACAAACTTTATTGTATTGCATGGTTATGGCGAAGTATATTATTATTATGTAAATTGGACTATATACTAGACTATTATTATATTATTATAGCGTAGTATAGAGCAAATCAAATTATATAGTAAAAAAATCATTAGCTATCTAAATTTTCAACATGACGTTATATTTATATAAAATTGATGTGCATTTAATATATTTAATATTTTTTTTTTAAATAATTTATTGATTTTCTTTAGCCTCTGATTAAACTGATCAACAACAATCAGATGTATAATATATTAAAGAAAGAAACCAAAAGGATTTTAATCTTCGATTAACCTATACAATAAGTTCTTTATATTTTTTTAAAAAAAAAATCTTTTTTAAATTTAAAATATGATGCTATATTTATGTAAATTTGATATATTTAATATTTTTTTTTTGATAATTTATCAATCTTCTCCTGCCTCTGAATAACTGATTAACAATAATCAGAATTGATATTTTTAACAATTAGATTTGTTTAGTATGATTTTAACAATACATTACTTTCTATATAAGTTACTTTATACTTTTTTTTCAGAAATTATGCGACATTTCTTTTATTTTTTTTTCCTTAAGAAAATGTTTTAAGACAAATATATTTCTAACAATAGTCAATGTAGTTACATTAGACAATAATACAATTCGTTTAACATATCTTTATTATTGAATGAAAGAAAAAAAGAATAGAACAAATGGTAAATATTAATCGTTGTCATATCATAATATATATATCTTTTCCAATATCCTTTTATATTTTTCTAAAAAATACAACTGCTATTAGAACTAATCATATCATGAATATTTATAATAATGAAGAAATAGCATTAGATATCGATATAGAAAATGAAGAATTGAAAGACGATAAAAATAAAGCAAGCGATGATAAAAATAAAGTAAGCGATGATGAAAATGAAGCAAGCAATAACGAAAATGAAGCAAGCGAGGATGATATAGAAATTGAAAGTGAATATGAAAGAATGATGATAGATTTAAATGAAAGTGACAGGAATAAAAATGATAAATAAGAAACAAATGAAAATGACTTAGATGAAGAAGTAATCATTGATTAACTTCTCAATAGTAAACAAATGCCACATTTTTTTGGTGAATTCACCCTGTATTTCAAGAATATCACAGAATCTCTCTTTTTTAGATGTAAAAACATAGTATATGTAAGTTAAGTTATATCCTTTCGAAACTTATAAACGATAACAAACTAATAGTAACTAACAGTGATTATTTATCAGTTACCCAAGCATATAATGAACTAGTGGATATTATCTGTCGCCTACAGTTCAGGAGCAAAAACATTATATCAAATAGCTGATGATTTAGAAAGTATAGACAGAACTTACTTTTACTTTTAATAAAATCTTACAAAATTAATATATCTAGCAAAAAAATGTCGTTAATGTCTAAAAACATTAGAGAATCATATTATTTATCTTTTACAGATATTATTTATCATATTTTAAATAATCCTTCATTATTTAGCAAAATGTATTTTAGATCTGAACAAGAAGTTGTAAAAAGCAAAGAACTTTAGCATGGAAATATCTGGAAAGAGTTAGCAAAATTCAGACAAGCATCTATTAAAATTGCCCAAGATGTTTATTATACTAAAAATTTCGTAATATATAGAAAATCAAGAAAAATGAAAAGATTTGGTCATATATTAGCAATTATACAATAAGACAACTGGCTAAAGATTAAGATTTAACGCATTTTAAGCTTTGAAGAGTTGCCAAAAAATCTACAAAGTAATAATCAAAGACAAAGATCGCAATATAAAGTTTAGTTCTTAAATCAAGAAATGGATAATGCAACCTTGAATATCGAATTACAAGTAATCAATAAATGCATATTAATTGATATTCTTTATGATAATATTATAAATGACCCTAATTCTATTAAAATTAGAGAAATCCTTTACAAATATAATAGTTACTAGAAGTTAAAAGATGTCAACTATTCATACCAACATCCTTCAAAGTTCACAGCATTAAAAGAACTAAGAACACATCTTCCAATATACAAGTTATCCATCAATATGTATTACGACAACTTCAGAACATTTTGTAACATCTATCATTTATTAGGCGGCATTTACATCCAAATAGGAAATATGCCACTTAGTGAAAGAGTCTATCTTAAGAACTATTTTGTATTAGAATTTGTTTCTTTCAGTGGTTCTTTCGATGAATTTATTAAACCATTCATCAAAGAAATGAAAGCATTAAAAAAAGGAAGGATTATGAATATATAAGGAAATGAATGCATTGTTATTATGAGCCTTGGTGAAATAACTGTGGATTTGCCATAAGGCAATAATATAGTGATATAGTACTAATAGAGGTATCAGACTTGCAGCGTAACTAAAGACTCTTTAACATCTGAGAGTCTTGATATATAATTATTCTCTCATTATTATCATCAGTCGAATATGCAATTTAAAGAAATATCAGAAGCACCAACAATTACAAGACGTAAAGTTATCGTGATTAAATATGAGTTAAAACTACATTTACCAATCCTCGACCAATTAAAAAGTGAAAGACATTTACAGTCTTCACAAGATGTTTATCACCTTATAGCTGGAAAAGTGCTAAGATTTCTCAAGATTATAATCGAAGCACTTTCACCAGAAGGAAAAACTGAATTTATGAAAGTTTAGAAGTTTTTCAAATACCTGAAGACTTAGCGAAAATTATCAAATTTGATATCTCACATTGAAAGTTTTATAATGTCTGATTGTCTACAATTAACTATGATGTTTCTATTTATTCTTAATAGGTTCTTGAAATATACTCAGTTTAAAAATTCAGAACTTGTTTTATTTTAATGTCAGATAGGAGTTACCTGAAGCGATTATGCTATAAAATATTGGTTGAAATGCTGGAAAGTAATGGTAAAAATAATGACTATAGTATTTAAAGACTCCTTTACAAATGAAGAATATAGTGAATTGCGTGATTGTTTATACAATGAAAGAATGCTTTTATCAAAGGTATTATTATTTAAATTATAATTATAATCATTTTATATTATACATTACAGAAATAATATAAAAAACAAAGAAACTAAATCATATACTCAAAAAAATATCATATTGATTTATTTATTAATTTTGTATATTCGTTTACATTTATTATAATATTGCATAGCTAATCCTAATTTTGTTTACCAACAGGCATTCAAAGAGTTTAAAAACTTACTGAATCTGCATACCAACTTCCACCTACTATTACATGCAAAGAATTATATGATATTATTGAACACAAGTATTATAATAAAAGAAATAGTACACTGAATATTCAAGAGCAAACAAATCTAAAGAATGTGAGTTTAGATTTATTAAAGCATTATACCACCTTATTTGCGATACAACATCTATTGGATGGTGACATAGATTTGAGGTTATTTATATCAAAATATGGATTTATGAACATAACAAAATAATCGTGATGCTTAATGAGTGGCTGGTTCATTACAAAAGATAAAGTTGATATTAAAGATGACGTAAGCAAAGGTATAATATAATAATATAGTATTAAAAAGTATTTATTGAATACTAATTAATAGGATTTAAAATTTTATTCACCAGACGAATGGATTTCTAATATATCGCTAAAGAAGCAAATAAATATCGAAATATCACTATTGTTAGATCTTTAAGCAGAATTAAAACTAGCCTACAAGAATTTTGAAAATAATTCTGCGATACTTAATGATAATATACCAACCTTTTTTGAATATGCAAGTTTCGTCTATGAAAAAGAAAAGAATGATACTATTCTACGCTATTTACATATCAGAGATATTATATTGATCAATATCAAAGATAGTGATAATTTCACGATTATAAGGGTTATATTTTATCATCAAAAGAACGATCATCGATTTGTATTTATTATCATTAATTGGTTTGAGAAATTAAATCAAACAATACTAAGCTATCCATTATACAAGTTACAGAAGATAAATACTAATTGGTGAAAATTATTTTCTATTAGTTTAGTGAATACAACAAATATTATACATTTTGTTCATAATTGTAAAGATGAAGAATATATCAGAAGCAATTATGATATTAGAAATGATTTATATATACAAAATTAATTTTTCTTTAAAGCTGTTAAATGTTTATTATTTTATATATATTAATTAATAAGACATTTTACGTTTTGCATTAATAACAGTCTGCATTTATAGAACAATTTACATTTCATGTATACTTTAGAATATATACAATTAGATTTAGAATAAAACATTTTACTATGATTTTATTATTTATCTAATGAGACTTTAATGTATAGTCAATATAACTTTTACTAAATTTATACTATACATTCGATATAGTTTAAAATTTAGAATAGAACATTTTACTATGACTTTATTATTTATCTAATAAAACTTTAATATACAGTCAATATAACTTTTACTAAACTTTTACTATACATTCAATTTAGTTTAAACATACAGTCAACTCTTGTTATAATGAACTCTATGTCCTAGACCTCAACTTCACTATAAGGCTATAGTGAAGATTTTAAGAGATTTG